GAATTTTGGAGTCCGTTGCTAATATTCAGACATATTGCTTTAAAATGCAGTGTTAATACACAATAAATCAAGTCCAAGACATGAAAAGAAAGAAGTAAAAATAGGTTGATGTTCAGAAAAAGATTAGCTTTACAATAGTCTTAAATTCAGAATAATTCTTAACCCCATAAGCGGTCAATTGCTTTGCCCAAAATGTTCCAGAAAAGGCACATTTTTATTGCATGTAACTAAGCATAATACTTAACAAAATGTGAAAATGAAAGAATTTTATTTTAATTTTCTATTTTATAGTTTTCATATTATTTATTTTTTGTTTTATAATAGTGGAACCTAAAAATCCCTAAATACTTGATTTTTATAAGTACACTCTGCATGTTATGCAGAATAGTTCATAAATCTAAAAAAAACTTCTCTCATACTTACAAAAAACTTTCATGTTCGTACCTGTTTTTCAAACGGTTGACGATTTTGTATGTATGTCCATATATATATATAGTCACACACAATTAGAAACATCGTGTATAATACTAAGTTTTATATTGCAATTAGGACAGATACAATATCGGTTATTTTGGATTATCTTTCCATTTTCATTTCTTCTCAAGCAACAAATTGCACATTGCTTTGTCAATCCCTGTCCTTTATTGAAGAATCTGAATTTCTCTGCTTTCAAGGAAAAATTTCCGTCTTCAATACAAAGAAAATCTCGGATGAGAATTATTTCAGTACCCCCCATGGCAAACTGCATCTCTTAAAAACACTAAAACTAATAATCTCAATATAGGAATTAAAAACACATGCAAATCAAAAATAGAAAGAAGAAAATATCAGGGCAAAATGGTTGTGGATAGCTTTCGGTATCCCGTACGGTGTACCGGCAGACCAGTGTAGGGATTAATATATTTTGTAACCATTTGTATGACTAACCTTGGTAGCCAAGGGGTCATGGTTATGAACTCGTGACTGGCAGTGTTACTGTCTAGTTCTGTTGCTACTGAAGTCCTACCGTGAAGAGTGACTTATGAACGTTAAATTTGTAGAGGATCAAAGTCTTCACGTTGACATGGTGTGGAAGTTGGGTGAATGAGATGCCAGCTCAGGAGATCAAAGTTCAAAATTACGAGGTCAGTCATCTATAGCTGTTGTGTAATTTCAAAGTGTGACGTTAAGTAAACAATTAGTCAATCAAACGTTTGTATGAATGGAAATAATCACATTTCATCGATGAATTTTATTTGGGATTCTGCTTTTAATGTATTAAAAAATTTCACAAAATGTTCTTTTTTTTGGTTAAATTCTATTGTTGTTGATGTCTTATCCATGCAGTTCTAGGCATGTCTATGCAGTGAAATTAAACGATGCCGAAGGCATCCAAAACGGTGTTTGCTATGTCAACGACCTTTTGCGAATAAAGAGGTGGTCCGTGGGGTTAAGGTCTTTATTGTGGAGCTTAACCAATATAAAAGAACAATTAAAAATATGGTTAGGAGACAGTTGAATTTAAGGGCAGTTAAGACTACGTTCGGAACCATGTTTTTGCAAAAGCGCATAAATGGATAATTTTCATGATATTTAGTGTCTCTTAGAATAGAATACATGTATAAAACTGTTTTATAGGGACATTTTGACAAAAAAAAATTATTTAAATACAATATTTCGGCAAAATATTAATTTAGAATAATCTTTTTTTCAAAATGTTCTCCTTTTGTGAAATATTAATATATTATAATAATATTTTGCCTGTATATAGCTCAGACTTCTCTACAGAGGCTCAACTAGAAGTTTCGAAATATATAACTTAGAAGTGGGTTTATCCATATTTTACGACAACAGAGGGGAGCAATTTTAAGAAAAAAATGCCAATAATTATTACAATGGGTGGTAACTGTGAAAATAATGTGAATTTTTCAAAAATTCTAGTTGAGCCTCTGTAGAGAGGTTTGAGCTATATGCAGGTAAAATATTATTATAATAGAAGCATTTTTCACAAAAAGAGGACATTTAAAAAAAAAAGATTATTCTAAGTTAATTTTTTGCCAAAATATTGTATTTAAATAATTTTTTTTGTCAAAATGTGTCCTTAAAACCATTTTATGCATGTGTCCTAATCTGAGTGACACTAAATATCATGAAAATTATCCATTTATGCGCCTTTTTAAAATCACGGTTCCGAACGTAGTCGGATACCTTAAGATTAAAAATCCTTTTATTGTATTCTTTTAGAAAAGAAAAACTGTTTCCCATTAATTTAGAGAAATTTTTAGCTTATTTCTGAGCCAACATTGCCTTAAAAACTGCCGCAAGATATCAGGAAAAAATTATACATACGTCTTTAACAGGATGGTAAAGAACAAATGAAAGAATGTTCATTTAGAAGTATTTGTTAATTAAATAAATAATGTAACTTTTCGAAAGAACTGATATTTTTTGCGAGGCACTTGCCCGAAACATTTCGTAGAGGTGATTGACACGCATCAAACATGCAGAGGAATTCGCCCCTTTCCCCCAAAAAATCAATATCTCGATGGAAACAAGGATTCTGAAACAAACTTATCGTATCCTGAGATATATTCAGAATCAAGAGGAATGGAATATTTATCTATACATACGAAAATATTTTTTTTGACTAAAAAGACAGACGATTTTCATATTTTTCCGGAAAACATACTTTTGCGAAGGGTTTCGAGAAGCTGCTCTTTTGAAGTTAAGGGGGTGTCAAAATTTTCTGTATGCTTCATGTTAAGTTGGTATATTTTGATACATATATAATGTAAAATTTATAAGCAATATAAATATTTTATATTAATTCAGATGTATTTTCTCAGAATCTGTCAAATATATAAATAACATCAATGCATTCTGGGGATGTATATATGTCGAGTTTACTAAAAATTTACTTTCTATATAGTAACGTTTTTTAAAATTGCCTCTAATAGAAATCAATTAAAGGGATTCACAATGTTCGAAACCGTGATTTTGAAAAGGCGTATAAAATAATTTTTTTTTTGAAATTTAATACCACTTGAATTAAAATATACATATAAAATTGTTTTAGGAATATTATTGCAAGAAAAAAATTATCTAAAGACAACTGTTTGGCAAAAACTGAAGTAAAAAGGACAATTTCTCAGAACTTTCTCCTTTTATAAAAAATGTTTTTATAATAATAATATTTTGTTTATATATAGCTAAGACCTCCCTACAGAGCCTGAACAAGGATTGTTGAAAAATTCCAATTATTTTCAGAGTTAGGATCAATTGAAATAATAATAAAGGGTATTTTTACCTAAAATATTTTTATTCTGATGTATTGAAGCATAATAAATCTACTTCTAAATTATATCTTTCAAAAGTTCTAGTTCAGGCCCTGTACGGAAGTTTTGAATTGATATATTGGAAAAATATTATTATTATAGAAGCCCTTTTCGTAAAAAAAAAAAAAAAAAAAAAGAGAGAGAGAGAGAGAGAGAGAAAATGTTCGAAATTTACAAGTTTTTCGTCCTTGTTTTGCCAAAAACTGCATTTTATTAACTCTTTATTGTAGTAATATTCTTAAAAGATTTTTATATGTATATATTCTAATTTAGTTGAGATTAAATAAAAAAAAAATAACGATTTATTTGTTTTTGCAAAATCACGGTTCTGAACGTAGTAAGATACGTTAAATTGAATTTGGATGACTGGATGTATAAATACGAGGGAAAGTTAAAAAAGTAAAGAGATTTTTGTAATTTCTCTTTCCAAGTTTCGACAAACAGCGTTGGTATTAGCACTGAATGAGGAGTAGTCGGCAAAACTTCTATACAACGTGTCATCCGTTTTCTCTCGTAGTAGCCCTCGTAGTCGTCTGTAGCAGGCAACTCAACATGGCAGCTCCATTGTCATTCTGTACTAGGGTCAGTCTGTACCAGAAGTTCACTACCGGTATTCGGTATTTTTTAGATCTTATAATGCCGGGATACCAGTTTTAATACCAGTATTAGAAATTTTAGAAACAGAAAGGAAACACAAGTGTTTCTTTGTTTTATTTGCCAGTTTTATACTATAGAGTGTAAATATCACACAAAAACTGTTTAACTTATAAATTCTAACAGTATACACGGAATCACAAAAAAGTAAAGGAACATCGTATTTATTTAAATCACAAAAGAAAAGTGCAAATATCACTATTCAGTCTGTGTTCTGTGGACTTCATCATATAAATAATGAAACCAAACCGAAGTATTATCAACTTATTTATTTATGTTCTTTAAAATTATTCTTATTCACATTATTATGGGTTATTATTTGTGAATATATACTGTATAACAAATCTGAAATAAATTTTGAACACTAAAATATGATATGCAAATACAATGTGAAATACACTCACCAATTTAAAAAATATCGAGGTATTACGCATTTTCTTCACAAATAAAACCTTGTTTTCATAGATACGAATATCAGACTACGATTCCTGTGCGTGTGCAGTATCGCTCTGAACTGTAATAGAATAGTTTTGGCCCGCTTCCCTGGATGTTTCACATATTTTATCACTTCTCTTGATTGTACGATGCAACTTTATATTCACAATCTAATTAATTTCGCTCGTTAAAGTGACATAAAAGCAAAAACGTATACTATTTTGCTATGTTGGCGATCATTGTGAAGACGAATTAAAAAAAAGTGTGTATGTACTTATGTACGCACGTAAGAAGCTATACTTCTTTGCCGTAACGAGATAAAAATCTTTCTAAAAATCTTTAACAGGGTAAGCTGGTACAAGGAGGAAAGGTGGTCACGAGCAGAGTTGAACGATACTAACTTTCAGTCAATCGGACCAGCCAAACCTGAGATAATCACGATTTAAATAAATTTAAACACTCCCGCTCAGGAACAATAGGACCAATAATATGGGGACGGGATGGAAGGCGGGAATGATCTGTCCCGTTCTGCATATTTCTAGACAAAGCATTTTCGTATCCGTTCCTACGGAACGCAAAGCAAAGGTTCGTTGAAGCGGAGGTATAGCTCAGCGGTAGAGTATTCGATTGCAGATCGAGAGGTCCCCGGTTTAAACCCGGATGCTCCCTTCTTCGGGGAAGTGATGAGAAATATTTTTTTTGAGAAATTCGAATTCGGGAATGATCTGTCCCATTCTACATATTTCTAATCAAAGCATTTTCGTATCCGCTTCTACGGAACACAAAGCAAAGGTTCGCTGACACAGGGGTATAGCACAATGGTAGAACATTCGACTGCGGAATGGGAGGTCCCCGGTTCAAACCCGGGTGTCCCCTTCTTCAGGGAAGTGAAGAGAAATATTTTTCTGAGAATTTCGAAGGCGGGAATGATTTGTCCCGTTCTGTATATTTCTTGACAAAGGAGTTTTTCATCCGTGACGGTCTGCGTCACATCCGTGACGGTTCTGCGTCACATCCATGACGGAATCCGCGGTCATTGTAAAAGTTTACCCTCATCCTACTTCTCTAACGCCCCAAAAGATATATAACTTCAAAAAAAAATTCTAGTCAATACCGAAAAACCGGTATTTAAACTTGTAAATGCCAGTATTGCAAAATTGTACAAATAGCTCAAAATACCGGTATTCGGTATCCCGTTATTTCGGCATTGCAATCCCTAGTCTGTACCTAGGAGAAAGAGGGCAGTGATTAGCCTTTTGTTTGAGGAAGGTATAAACCTACGGAAGTTATTCGTCGCAAGCAAGCGCAATACGGTGACAGTTGTCTATCGCGAAGCAAGATCTATAAATGGATGGAGTGCTTCAGACACACAAAAAAAACTTCTTTATGTGACGACGAATGATAGAGCAGCCAATCGATGTCAACCAATGAGGACAATGTGCACGTCGTTGAGAGTATAGGGATGGAAGGAGGATGGCTAATATCCAGTGCAGGTTTCATACCTTTCGCAAACAAAAAGCAAGTCATTTCCCTCCTTTCCTGCCTGGTGCAGATCGACAATGGAGCTACCATGTTGAATGGTATGCTACAAACCAATGACCGCGAGGGAAAACGAGTGACACGTTGTATAGAAGTGCTACCGACTACTCCTCATTCAGCGCCTGATACTAGCGTTGTTGCCTAACCTTGGAAAGAAATTGCAAAAGTCGCGTTCTTTTCTGACTTTCCCTCGTATATTTACAAAACCATTACATAAATAGAATACTTCAAAATAACATTATAACCTACTATAAAGAATGTATACCAGGGATGGCGAACGAGTGGCCCGCCACACAATATTTTGGGCACGCCACTGATCAAAACACGGTTTGCATTTTAGTTCAAAATAACAAAGTTCGCTATGAAGCATTACGTATAAACGCGAGTTATAGGTGATGGTGCATGAGGCGGTGGGAAACACACTCATTTGTTATTGTCTTACAATCCTAAAATAAGTTATTTGTCATCTAATCTGCAACAACAGGTTACACTAGTGTTACTTTAATTTGAATTACACGTATAGATAAAACATTTACAACAATGCAGTGTAAAATGTAATATTTTTTTGTAGTAAATACAGAGTTTCGAGTTGTTAGAGTATTTAGTTTTTCTTATTTTTCCAATAATCATAAGTTAAAAGTATTTCATGGCACGTCTATACTTCATTAAACATTTCTTCAGAAAAAATGGCACGCTGATCCATAAAGGTTCTCCACCCTTGATGTATACTAAACTACAGTAACTTAAATTCAATGTATCCTTTTGTAAGAAAATTTCTCTCTAGATATGAAAAGTGATACAGTCTTCTTAGATAAAGTCTTTTCTTATTACCATTTTTACAAGAACCATAAAGAAGTACCAAATTATTATTTCTATTTTTAAGAAAAACAAACTTTAAAATAGAATCATTGTGGATATTACACTTATTTTATTCCTTCTGTGATTACTTACGTTTGTGAATTTTATAACACAGTTGTCAATGGTATAATATGGAAAATCACACTCTTTTACAATGTTTAGTTCCTTAGATAGTGAAATAAAAGTGGTTCTTCAGTATAAATCTCTCAGGGGTTACAATTTATATTTTGAGAACAAAATAACCGTGCAATAATATTGCAAACTCATTTCAGGAGATTATTGCATATTCTTATATAAGAGACGTTCCTAAAGTAAGTTTAATTACTTTTTTTTTTCACTCGGAGACTTTATTGCTAAAAAAAAATCATGAACTATAAACCTTCCACTATTTTTCGCCCATCCGGTATAGGGGATAGAAAAGCTGACTTTTGTGCCGTAAAGCCTGGGTTCATATCTCGGAGAAGGCATGGATGTTTGTAAATGTATAGTGCCTTTGCTGCATGGTTGTACTCTAAATAGCCGTCAAGTCGCAAGTCCTCTCATGAAGTTGGTGGAAGGGGAAGAGAGGTGGGTGGCCCTTGACCCCCCCGGTGTGTTCTCCCTTAAAATTGGGGTGGATCCGAGCTAAATCGTGCTGTCACCTGTATGGTGCTCAAGGCTGCGGACAACGACAAGCATACATCTAGCCCCTTGCCATAATGAATTTCGTTGACCTGGATCTGATGCAGTCGAGATCAGGTGGCATAAGTAGCAACAACTACTTTCCAACATAGTCAGTACTGGCAGTGAGACATTTGTCGTAGCCTGCACTTAGTTTGAAAAAAATACCTCGGGTAAAACACAGTGTCTTAAGAAGCAAGAAAATGTCGTAAAGCCTGCTTTATCTCAGAAATGTTTTGGAAGAATTTTCTCCTCACTAATGAATTAAGATAATTCCACGTAAATGAGGTGGCTTTAGATTCTGGAATAATGTGGTGCACCCACGCAGTGGCGTTAGGGCCTTCTTCCTTATATTAGGGCCTTCTTGCAAAGTTAGGTTTACCTTTAATATTTTATAAATTGGTTGAATACATACTTGGCGTCAGTCAAGATTTGGGAGCCTTTGAAACCTACCCCCTCGCGTTGTGGGGGTGTACATTACGCCATTGCGCCCATGTCTGATGGCTTGTAAAGATTATGAACTGGAACTTCTTTTCCTCTCTCATGTGCATTATCAAGCGATGATTCCCATTCTTGCACTCATGTGTTCCAGGGTCAGATTTCTCAGCAACCCTTTTGGATACACTTTTTGGTTTGCCGGTGCACCATGAGACATGTGAGAGCCCTGTGTGTGGACCAATATGCAGTGTGGATGCCACTATAACGCCATTATGCATCTGTCCATTAATACCATGTCCGTGTTTCTCAAACTGTAGGGCGCGCCCCTCTAGGGGGGCACGAGCATATTGTAAAGTTGAAAACAAAAATTATTTAAAAAAGTTGTTAACTTTCTGAAAGTAAACAAACAAATACATTCTGACATAATAAGAGATAAAATATTCATTTACACCATAATAAACTTATAAATTTATCAGTACTGTACAATCTATTTTAAAATTAATTTAACAATATTAAGTTAAGGATAAGTTTAATAATTATAACCATGGATTTGTGTCATATATACAATCATATGCCGATATTAACTCTTTTCTTGATAATTTGTACGGTTTATAATTAATCCCTTAAATTCCAATTAAAAATTATGTGATTCGTTCTCCCAACGCCACCGCTTAGCACGTAGGTAAGCGTATGTTGTGTGTTGGAGGGATGTAGAAAAGGAATAAATAATCAAATCCTCTGAAATAAGTAAATCCCTTGAAAGCACTGTCAAGGTCATTTTATTGCTTTCGAAAGCTTTCGGAATAATTTTATGGATAGCAGTTCTCAGAAAAGATAGTACTTCGGAAAGACGTATATATACGTCTAGGGGCACTTAACACTCTGGTTGAGCTAAACATTTATATACGTCGGGGGCTGGACTTAAAAAGCCAAAGTCGTATTGTTGGTTTAGCGTTAAAGTATAGTATTATTGAATTTAATTCATCGTTATGTATAGAGGGGGGCACGATGCAAATTATAACTGGGTATTGGGTCGCAAACATTGAAAGTTTGAGAAGCACTGTACCATGTCTTATACCCTATGAACGTTTTCTGTCGGGTATGTGGAGTGGCGCCCACTTCGACATTCATCCTACTCACACTGCATTCCTTCAATGGACATGCAACACCAGCGACCAACAATTTGACGAGACAAGACCTTTTCTCCATATACGGTCTGTAAGCATTCATGGACATAATAGTCCCACTTCTCCAGTCATATGGAATAACAGCGAGTACTTCCACTGGCTAATACGTTGGCACGTGTCGAGAATTAAATGATCTTCGAAAAGTTATACATTTCAGGAAAAGATAAATGTGAATTTTTGTATAAATTCGAGAAATGTTGTTAAGCTTACAGCAGAAATGAATATGAAAACAAGTAATATATAAAAAAAATTAAGTCAATTCCTACTTAGATCAACAAAGAAATATTTTATTTTAACTACTTTTTATTAAATAGTTACAATTAATGTACATAAATATGTATATACATAGGACAGAAACACAACATTTCGTGGTAATTAATTTTTATTAATTGTCATTAAAGTATCGTATTGTCATCCAAAACAATCGTGTTTATAAAATTTCAGCTCAACTGAGTGCTTTAAAACGTGAGAAAAAAAAAACTTTTTCTAGTTTTGATACAATTCGCCAAAATGGTAGCTAAGTCGCCAACGTGGCTGTGTATTTGTAATTCTATAAATAATTAGTTTTAATCAAATAATTTTTATTAATTACAATTACATTTTGTTGTATAGTCATCCAAAATAATCATGTATATAAGATTTCAGCTCAATCGAGTGCTTTAAACGATTATTAACGATTGAAAATTTCAACAAGATAAATAAATAAATATTTAGAGAGTGTGAGCTAATAGTAGGAATTGTAAAATGCATTCCAAAATATGATTCATAATTCCATGACTCTAATTTTATGTAAAATGATAATATTCTTCTAAATAAAGAAATTTTTACCAAAGAATTTGTTATAAAATCAATCAGAATTACGATATTCATATGTTTATTCAATTTCTATTTAATTCGTAATTATTAATAACTAACTAATTATAATACAATGTGATATAAAATCGTTATTCGTTAAATTGGGTATTTATTCTCATATAATCAGAATCA